TAAATATAGCTGTTTGAAATGATCGGTGTTACACTGTGGCCCATTAATCTTTTTTTTTTTTTTTCCTAACCATTTTAACTGGATTACCGCAGTAGAGTAAGACTAGAACGGAACATATGCGAACCATGCTAGTAGTCCACCCAATAAATCCTACCCATCCCACCCCAGGGGATGGGCATCCATCACAAAGTAATTTCGTGCGTGGGAAATTAACGTCTCCTACCCCTAACCCTGTTGTTCGTCCCTATTCGAGAAGACTACAATATCTAACCATTTCTTGATGTCATAGAAAGGTAGCATATTCTTCTCAGTTATTTTAAGACCATGAGTATCGGTGCGGCTGGGGCTCGAGCTCTCGACCTCCCGCACAACAGTCCAGCGCTCTATCCATTGAGCTAACCAGGAGGCAGTTCATTCCTGCTATAAATATTGTGTCAATTATTCGCTCACGTAAGGAATGTTGGGAGTGGACTAGTTTACCGCCAAGGGTTTACAAGAGCAGAAGTTCTGTGACCAAACGGACGTAAAGACAGCAGAGTGACAATAACTCTCAATAAAGAAACGACAACTTTAAATTTAAACTTACAAGACATGTTTCGACATTCTCATGTCATCTTCAGTTGCATATGAGCTTTTAACGGTTGTACATTTGAATTCATATTAAGGTACGTTATAAATTACGTGTCAGGGCTTACGTTACAATTTGAATATGAAATACGCGAAAATGAAAATAGCTCGCGCATAACTGGACCAGGGTAACGTAAGCCCTAACATGTAATTTATAACGTACCTTGATATAAATTCAAATCGGTACAACCGTTAAAAGCCCATATGCAACTGAAGATGAGATGAGAATGTCGAAACATGTCTTGTAAATTTAAATTTAAAATTGTCGTTTCTTTATGGAGAGCAGAAGTTCTGTTTTAAAATTTGCTTTAATCTGCCCTTCGCATAAAAATTAAAATATCTTCCCTAAGCAGTTATAAACTGAGATTTGTCCTCATGATTAGGTCGAAAACTTCTTTGAATTATGACCAGGTTTCGCTCTGGAAATGTCTTGTACTTTCTAATGTCTTCAAAAATTCCTCGGCTTTAGGTCTGTCCATTTTACCTTCCTTAATGAATATTTCAAGAAGGGCATCGGTAACATCGGTGGGCATGCGCTGAGAGTTTCTGTACATAACGTGGAGAGAAAAAAACGTCAAAATCCACAGATATTTTACTATCATTGCTAACCACTAACTTTTTTACCGATGAAATTCTTTTTAAGGCTGTACTTTCAGCAAGTTCCTTTCAGAATAATTTTAACGCACCATTTACTTTCGATCAAGTGCAGCTTCCTCGCATGTTATTACAAAATGAGCTCTGAATATGTTAGTGTCCGAAGGTACAGCTGCCCATCCTAATTCTCCTTGAAAAGAAAAGCTGCTTTCAAATAATCCTTTCCCTTTCTTGCGCTATTCTTTAAAATTTACAACAGAAAAAATTCAAAATGGTAGAGACTTCCACGAGCAGAACTTCGCCTGAAGATTTTCGTTTTCCCCGACAAGTGCTTTCTTCAAGTCACCGACACTAAGAAATTCTGTTCGGCGTTGACAAGTCTCCTGGTTAAAAAAAATGAACATAAAAAACTACCACCTCAGTTTTAAGAAATGCGTATTTTCGAGAAAAAACTTGTCACATTTTGCCCATAACACATCGCCACGGAAAATTATCAAGGTTAAAGTGGGAGGGGTACCTGGAATTATCACACCCATGAAAGTTTGAAAGTCCGCCCATAAAACAAACCAGGTTCACTCCCACATTTCCGAGTTCGTCCCTTAATTTTTCAACTCTTTTTAGCCAAACATGTGTTTTTTTTGGTAACGAAATAACAATGAATTTTAAACTTTTGTGAGGCGAACTTGCAATGGGACGCAAAACCACATAGAAAAGCTTGCTACTGATGGGAAAGGGAACTCATACCCGGCTATGTAAAACCATCCTTGCTTGTTGACCAGAAGATCCCAGATGAGAGAGCTGTTTTCCAGTAACCTGTGCTGGACGTAGATCTTTTCTTCCTGTATAAAGAAACAATCAAAAACGATTAATTAGAGCGAATAAAAATATAGAAAATAATACTGATCTACCTTGTAAACATGGCACAAACGATGACTGAATATCGCGGTTGGAGAGTAAAATTACCATAGAAACTTAGTACCAAATAAACCAATTTCTAACTGGAAGAAAAAATAATTGCTTTATCGTACAAGACTATTGTCACCAAAATTAGGACAAAATTTTCAAAATTTCGTTTTATTTTCCCTTTTGTTAGAGAAAGTAGTTAAGTGTGATCCTTTATTTAGCATCAAATTTTACTATTTCTTGTTATTTCTTTTTAAGGCTTTAGAATTATCTAATATGTTGTACAGTCTAAGGAGTGAAATATGTGATTTGCGACAGGTATCAACTGCTAATGAGTCTATGTACCAAGGGGGCTACAAGTCACCCATGTTTGCTTACCTGATCTCTTGAAAAAGCAGTAAACAACCTTAAACTGCCATCCTCAACCAATGCACGCCATTGATCTCGGAAAAAGAAATCTTTGCTACAATTCCGACAGCCGAAAAACAGCACACATCCTTCAAGAAGACAACAGAATAATACAACTAATACAGATCGTCACTTGATTCATTAAAAAAAATTAACTACAAGGAAATTCAACGGGAAAAAACCGAAAAACTAAATTAAAACAAGAGATTTACCCTTTCTGAAGTGACAACATTGATTTTAGTGACGCCAAAGTAAATAGAGGCGTACAGACTGACCCCACAAAATGACCTGACTCTACCGCCGATCAAAACAGATCTATCCCAACTTACTTGAGCTAGCAAAACTGACAAATCAGCTGTCGTGAATCACACCTTCAAACTTCATCGATTTTTTTAATATTATTTTATTCTAAAGATGACTTCAGGGCAGGTCGTGGAAACGTCAGTTTATCGGTAGCCGAACACAGTGTTTTGTTTTTTCTTTTAACCGTACCCTCAAAGAAACGATTACAGAAGACATTCAATGATTTCAATTGACTGATTAGATAACAAGGTTGCACTACTAAAATAGCTCACTTGTGTTGGTTCTAAGGAAATGGATACCTTAATACAATCTCCCCTCTTGCTTCTAAAACAAACCTTGGCTTACCTCCGGCCGACTGTGACACTCTTTCTTCGATAAGACTTCTAAATGGTGCACAACCAGTACCTGTGGGAAAAAGAATGAGTAGAAGATTCGGCGTACTGACACGCGACTTTATTTTCAGGTGCCAGTACGCCGAATCTTTCTGCTTTGTCTGTTCAGGATAAAACTCCTGAGTGTTTATGTAAGGTCTCAAAAGAAGACCCTCCAAGTTTTGAAAGTGCTGTTGTCGAAGAAAACAGCCTAGTTTTTGAACAAGCAGATATTTTTAATGACGATATGTTAAGTAGTGACGATATTGTTATTTCGGAGGTCATTTCGAACAACGCTAAGCAAAATGAGGTAGCCGATAGCGACAAAACTTTATTGTTTTTCTCGTTGCCATGTTCCCACCAATAACGTAGCTCCATTTTCTGCCTTTAAAAGCACACACAACCCACAATTCCTCTATTCGCTCCGACGAAGGGCTAACGCTCGAAACGTCAGCTTTTGTAATCCTTACGGTGGCCAATTTACCGTTTCAACTTTGTTGATATATCCAAATTATTTCGTTACTCCCACCGACGCAGCCCCAAACAGTTTCTTTCGAAACTATCAGCCTTTATTAAATGATAAAGTCTAGGGTGTAATTCATCAATGTCTTAACTTGTTCATAAACCGAATCAAAGTAACCAGCGAGAAGATACATTCACTGCTGATGTCTAACAGGCATTTCTTTAGGAAGCAGACGCGGTTTTCCATGAGTGACATGGATAAAGAAGAGCATAATTTAGAAGCAAATGCAAGTTATGGAGAGCACTGTTCTAAAAATAGCTTTGACATTTGTTACGCGGGATATCTTTTCCCTGAAACCGGGTAAATGCATTGTTTATCTATAGAAAACTCAGTTTTGTTCTACACAGGACTATTACCTCAGAAAAAAAAAAACACGCTTAAATACGAATCTAAGAAGAATAAAGGCACACGTGTTTCACCAATCAAGTTACAATGTATATATGCTCAAAAACCAGCGTAAGATTTCCTTTTTACCTGGGCCTACCATGACAATAGGGGAATCTAAAGCCTTGGGAAATGATATAGTTCCTTTCTTCACCCAAACAGGGACACAGCAATCTTTGTTCAAAGGGTCCAGGGAGGCCAGCCATGTGGAGCATAGGCCTTGCCTTGGTTTGACAAGTTTAGTTTTGTAGTTTACAACAGCTACCAGTAATTGAACTTCATCTGGATGAGCCTGTCAAGATGGGATCAAAAGTTCTCTCATTAAGTAAGCGACTGAATGCAGAATAACTGCGAATTTTCCTGTAAAAGGAGGAATGTGTTTGTATCTTATATAGAAAGTTGGCAATTTCTTAAAATATTTCCAAAAGTAGTTCTTTCAGAAGGGAAGAGGCTAAAATCGACCATCAACCTCTCCGTTTGCGTCTCCTCTCGCTTCTACCGATCTGACGTCCCGGCTTTCTCCCTTGTGCACACGTAACTAATGTCTTTGTCAATATTAAGGCTTCCGCGTGGAGAGTTTGTAGAGGCTGTTAAAAGGTATTTATAACATTCAGTTTCCTGGATCCAGGCAGTCTTACCTTCAAAGAAGAAGCAATAGAAAAAGCTCGAGGTTGAATTGGTGGAATGAGGTCAAATAAATACTCGAACGGGATGTTCGCACTTGCAGAAGGAAAGTCTTGAAGAACCTATGGACAGACATTTTTCACACCATTCATCAAACACCATCTCTATTTATAATTAAATCCAAAAAGTTAATTTCTTGTTCCTTAAAAACAGAGAATCGAAGCAACATTCAGGTTAGCGCACTGGATTTCAAGATTTAAAGGTCAGCGGTAGACACCTAACCGGGTCTTTGCGTTGCGTTCTTGGTCAAGAATATTTTTTTTTCAATTAACACCACTCCCTGTTTTTAGGTATGCAAATGGTGTGGTAAACCGTAAGGGAAATTGCTGGAGTCTACTTACGCTCAAAAGACGTAGGAATATCCTTCGTGACCTCATGTAGCAGAAAACGGGAGCAATGGATTACCAGGGTCGAGAAATCTCATGTCTACGGTATAATTTTCTCTGTTGCAATTGTTAAAATGATAACAAAATCTCCTCTATAAATAAATTGACTGTGAAAAAAGGGTACCAGTGAGCTACCCTCCCCTCCCCTCTCCTGCAAGATTTTGAAAAATTAATTCACTATACTTAACACTAGTAACAACAAAGCCATGATTACCTCCAAAGTTGTCCTTTTCTGTCTGTAGCAATATGAATAAAGTTCTTCCTGAAAGTAAAAGTCATCCGAGAGAAAAGGATCACATAAAATAATAATGATAATAATAATAATTATTAATATTATTATTGTTATTATTATTATTAATCATTTTTTTAATTTTATACTTAATCACCTCTCAGTAAGATATCATGACAACTGACACTTCCTTTCTCAGAATGACAATCTTTCATCCTAGGGCATATTAAATGGAAACAGGAGGCGGCGTGGCCAAGTGGTTAGGGTGCTAGACTCGTCATCTGGTGTCCCGGGTTCAAGTCCTCCACCCTGCCACTCAATGGATTTGTTCTCGGTTGCCCCTAGTTCAACTCCTTGGCTGTGCTCTGTAAATAGCCCACTGGTCTGTAAGCACTTAGGTAGTCTACATTGTGGCTGAAAAGCCCCTATGGGGAAGCTTCAAATAAATTTTTTTTTTTAATGACTGAAGCCTCTAGGCCTGCCCTGAGCAAGTATTTCTGTACAATCAGCTTTCTAGATCTAACTTTATATGACAACAACTGACTTTGAAGCCTTAATGTTGTAACCCACACACAGGAAATTCTTCAGTTGCACAAGAGTGCTGACTAAGATTCAGCCACTACTAAACCAGAAACAAATCATTATAAGCCACTTACAGTACAGCTCAGAGGTACATGGCCAATGCACATGCAAAACCTTTGCACGTTTTTTGGCTTACAAAAAAAGGAAAAGTGTGTCTCAAGTGGGTTTTTGCTTTTGTTACTCAATGCAGTCAGTTTGCCTTGTTCTGCATTGTTTAAGAAAATAAAAAGATTTCTAGTTTTAAAATACCACCACTGAAGCATTAAATTAATATTTGCATATCTCAACATCTAGAGGATGCAGTCGCTTTGATTTCAATTAAAAGTTAAAACAACTTTTTATGATTCAATTATTATTTCATAAGTATGTTTGTAAAAGTATTTAAGATGTGAGTAATAATCTCTATACACTTTTTTGTTACCAGTTAAATACAGCAAACTTTGCATGTACCTGACCCTCTGCAGAGCAAAACTCTTGAAGTTTTTCCTTTTCCAGGTCTGAACTTGTGAAATGGGAAAGAAGCTCAAAGAAGTATCTTCTTGGAACACCTTGGATGTCTAAATAATGTTCCACAAGATGCTGAATGGAGCATGGCTGGGGAAGCTGGTGTGGAACATGTAGATCTATCGTGTTAAATCAGGAAGTTTAGCATTAAATCATGTTTAGAAAAGCTCGAGCAGTTTTATCTGTACGGATCTGCTCACTATTTAAAACATATATTTTATTTGAAGGGACTATCATACAGATTTTAGAAATAAAAATGAAATATGAACTGATCCTAGAGATACTGACAAAATTATATAGACAACCACT